AAAATCGTTAAAAACACAGAACAGAAAAACCTATAATTGGAAACGATGATTATATAAAATCTCACGTTTAATAGCTATTCGATAACCTGGTTGATGGATTTTCATTAAGGACTTTGCTATATAATTTTGTCACGATGCATCATTATTTTAACATCAAAATCTTAAAATGCCTAATAAATACATTAATATATACCAAAACGTCCAGTGGCCAGTGCTTTTTGTGGCGATGCCTTCAAGACAACACTGTGTTGCGGCGATTGTGGAGCCCACACCGACCTGGCAAAATTTAATATTTAGGTCGGTTGTCAACATACTATAGCCTACATACCAAACATGCCCTTCAGATAATTATTCTTGTCGTTATTATGTTTAATTGATGTTATTCCCATGTAATCCTTGTTTGAGCACAGTAAATTAAATCAAAATTAGATTAATTTGGCAGGGTTCGAAAACAAACTTCTGTAACTGATATATATATAGTTATATAATATAATTACGATCTACTATTTTTGTATTAAAATTTTCTTAAAAGTATATATATATTTTTTGTGTTCTTATATTCTTATAAATTCTATCGCACTATTTTAATGATTTATTGATTAACAATATCTTACCTTAATGGGTACATTGGCACACCCTGGTTACACAGTGTTAGTCTCGTTCAAATGTTTTTATATTACAATCACTTTCGAAAACTTGTTCAGAGAAAAAAAATTGTGATGGGCATTCAATTTGGCCAGTATATATAACAGGTCTAGGCCTATATATATTAGTACATTTATATATTTCTATTATATTATACCATAACTTGGATGTTATTTATTCAAGTATAAAGTGAATTACGTTCAATTACGAAAAAAAAACAAAAAAAAAAACAAAAAAACAAACAAACAAAAACAGGTAAGTCTATATCAATAATTGCTAATTCATATTTCGATAATTTATATTACAATTATCAATAAACCCAAATTTAAATGATTGTCATATGCCTACCGTTGTTAAAAATAGTATTTGGAGTCATGACATTTCGTTCAATTACCTTAATTTCTCGGACGTAGTTTGTCACGTGATTGAAAAAAATTCAGTTCAACATAAATCTATTATATAGCAAAGATTAAATTACTTATTAAAGGTGGTGTACTTCATGACTTTAGAATATTTGTTCATATATGAAGGTTACAGTATTTTAAAAATTACGATTTTATTATTAATGATGTTTCAGGGCCCATACGTGACGTTTGTCATGCGCAGTAGTATAGGCCTGTCATACACGGTGACCAGCAAATCAGATAGGTTAAAAGGGTGAGTAAAATTAATATTATTTAATGTAAATCTAAAGATATTTTTGCATCTTTGGTATATAGACCTACTTGTGATGTCTACGAATCCCATCTATGGTATAATAAAGCTGTATGATGATGTACTGTACTGTATTATTTGAACTAGCTTTGACCATATCAGTATAAGTTTCATTCGGTACATAATACAGCAGTATTGTCTTTGAATTTTAAATTATTTTTTGAAAGAATATTTGATATCTTTAAACACAATTTATTACTTGTTTAGTAATGACATATCAAAAATTGGTGTATTTTGTACTCGCTTAATGTATTCAAGAATGTTATTTCTAGGCTGCTTACAGTTTGGTTGCACTGTGAAAAACACACCAGATCCCCCAACCAACCGCAAAGTGCTTAGGACCACTTTCTTATAGAAGGGCCTAGCTCTTGTCTTACAAAATCAACCCATAAAAAGACGCCCAATCAGGCCCACACTAGACTATAATATAGTGTGTAGATGATAAATTAGTTTTTATAAGTTGACATGTATGTCTATTTTACTTGGATTAAATTGTACGTGCCTAAATGTAAAAGTATTAATTTGTTTTCATTGTATATAATCAGCCTAAAAACAGCATCACTAATCTGGCATTTGAGTACATACATAAATCTAAATTATTTTATATTTCATACATCACCAATTTGTATTATATTATATATTTATATTTTTAACTGTTGTATAATGCACCTTCTCTGATAACTAAATAAATTGTATTCTTTTAAAATTAATTGTCCCTTTATTATATTGTATTTTGATAATTCAATTTGAATTTGCTTGTGATATAATTGATGTTGGTTAGTTTAGGCATACATTTATGTCGTTAGATGCCTTGTATTTTCTTCAATTTGTGAAATAAATTTAGATATTTTCATCATTTCTATGTTGCCATCTGAGTGTTTTATACCAATAATTGAAATTATATATATATATATATATATATATATATATATATATGCCTATATATAAAGCTGTGTGATGATGTATTATATATTACTTGAACTAGCTTTAACCATATCAGTAAGTTTCATTCGGTACAGCATTTAACAACAATGTTAGCTTTAAATTTATTTGTATTAAAACATATTTGCTATCTTTAAACACAATTTATTACCTGTTTAGTAAAGACATATTGACAAAGGTGTATTTTGTATTCGCTTAATGAATTAAATAATGTTATATCTAGGCTGGTTACAGCCTGATTGCGCTGTGAAACACGTATAGGCCTATCAGATCCTCTAACCGCGCATGTTTATGACAAGTATTAAATTACTTTCATTATTTATATTATTTTTATAGGCCTATGTCTTGTGTAGGTATAATGTAATTAATGTATATTATAACATTAGGCCTGTAGTATATGTATACTGTAATATAAACACATAACAATAATAATATAAATATTGACAAATATACATCTCACTAGCATCATCGATTTAATGATGATAAAGATACTGAGGGTAATGAGAATGTTCAGGCAAAATAGTGTAAACAATTATTTCATTCCATGTATTTATCCTTAGTGTAAAATGACAACCGTAACAACGTTATTATCGTTCTAATAATACGCTTTACACCCTGATCCCACTCACCTTCGCCCTCGCCCTTGAAAGGTTTTAAAAAATTGAAATTTAAAATCTGAAATCCAAAGTGTTCATATTTGAAATTGGATTTAAATATGTCTATTTTCAAAATGGAAACATGAACCATTTAAATATTAAAAACCTCAATGAATAATACCTTTCACCTGCGTACACCCTCATAGTAACTGCTAATCGATGATTTAAGGATTTGTAAAGTTAAAATTATAATTTCCATGTTATTCTCAGTTTCAGATATATTGGATAATTTGTGTTTCATTGAAAGTTGTTAACTTATTCGATCGTCTTAAATAAGCAAATTAATACAGAATATTAATTAACTTCAGGCTTTTTTCAGGTTTTACTAAGGCAATCGAACTAGAATTACAGTTCGCCCTCCAATTCAAAACTACCTTTGAGACCTGAACATTTTCGCCTCCACATAGATGGTTAGCTTAGTGTTAATGAATTGAATATTGTAATTTGGTTCTTTGAAAAATTGGTCTCGAATTAGTACACTCTGAGAATTAGAGTGGTCTCGAATTGGAATGTGCACTACATAAACAGCCACAGAGAACAATAAAGATATTACAACTAAATCACTGGTGAACACGAAAAAGTCCCCCAAAACAAAATTAATGACACATGACGGTGATATAGAATAATTAACAATGAGATAGAACACACAATGTGTTGATGTACCAGACGAGGAAGTAAACTGGTTATCAATTCCTATCTTCAAAAATTTCAAAATTTAACCTTCAAAACATTAACAACAAAAAAACCAAAAAAAAAAACCCCAAAAAAACAAAGGCATTATTATGCTTATAGTTCACTAGAAATTAAAATATGACATTATAAAGTATCTAGAACTTACCGGGTTAATTTGAATAACGAATTGACGAACTAATAAAATTGAACAATACGGGTAACACTTCTTATTTAAATTGCATATTTGTATAACGATTTTGTATAAAAATATATAATTTTCTCCCAATTATTAACGTGCAAATAAATGATAACGTAAATGTATTTAAATGCATTGGGTTAAAACTCTTCAAATTGCTGGTAAGCAATGTAATGATTTTTGTATTAAAACGTCTGCAGATCCGCGAAAATAAAGATGTATGATCAAACTGTCTGCTTTTTAATAGATAACTTATTGATTTTTTTTGTCCGAGCAATTCATCAAAGAATTTATTTTTAAATGTATTTAATTTTAAAAAATGTTATCGTATTTTATGAGACAGTAAATTTTTAAGATGAGGCAGGGGTGGCGTCAGCGGGAGAACGGGGGCCAGGGCCCCTTCGGGGAGAGCTCCTCCCATCCCTCTCCCCGTCGGGAAGAAAACCACTATTCATCGGGGGAGAAAAATATATGTATTTTCTACATATTAGTAGACTCCAAAATCGATTAAATAAGCCTTCGAAACCCCTACATTTCCGTATTTGTTCGCCCCCTGGAACGCATTCGAGGGGTTTTGTTTTCGTCGGGGACATCATGCATTATTGACTATGTATTTGTAGCAAACTGCATCATTCTTATAGTATGCCTTTTAAATAGGCTATCTTTTTTATCAAAGTAAGTAAAATTCCCTGAATTTAGGCTATTTCATGAATAACAATAAGAAGAGTGGCAGGATATTCAACATGGTACAATTATTTTTTTGAAGCCAATGTCATTGCTGTTTAACATTTACTTCCTCATAGTGTTACAAACTGTCACAATGTTTTATATCAATTTTTTTTATAGGAAATGACAGAGGCTTCAGTCACTGTCATCAGCAATGCACGTGTTGACTATCGTTGTCACCTGAAACAACAAGATGCCAATGGCACTCAACACCCAAAGCCACGAACTGCTGCTACAAAAAAGGTAATTTACTTTTAATGAAAATGTTAAGTTGTTAAGAGCACACTTTTAACAAGAACGCCTTATTGCTCTCTTTGCTCGAGATGTACCCAGACTCAAGAGAGGTGGTAAAAAACAAAAACGCTTTTTGATTACTATAACAGCTGCAGCTAAACATAAATTATCAACATTAGAAAAAAAACAAACTCGTTCTTAATTATGACATAATATTGGTTAATTTTTTTAGGGATATGAAGCGTAGGCCCTAATTACCCTTTTCCAATGTATTGACATACAAATTGTTACAAACTCATACACATTTTTCATTTCTCTTTTTAGTGTTATTTCGTATTAGCTACCAAGTTCGTCCACATAGAAAAAATGATCTCAATTCTTGGATTAAAATTCTTATAAAATACACTACACAAAGGGGCATACCCCCTCCCCTACTCCCTTCCACGTTTCGCCACTACATTTTAAATCCAATGCATACCAGTGCCATGTAATAAAATAAGAAAAAAGTAGAATACAAATACTAGATGCTATTAATACTAGCAGGTGTGGCTTCATTAAGCCACAGCTGCTAGCGTTCCCCATTATCTATCTGATAATTTGGTGCTCCCTGTATTAAAACTCTCAGCCCCTGGCTCCAATTTAAGATATGTTTCTTAATCTTTCTTAAGTTTATCTAAAACTATTTTTGGTATTTTACCGCAAATTGGATAATCGTTAAATAATTTCTTAATAAAAGCCTATGCATACTCACTCACTATATATATACTGTCTCTTATACACATCTAGATGTGTATAAGAGACAGCCCCTACATGCTGATCGTCACAAAAACCATAGCAACCAGACCATATTTAACAAATTACCCACGCGTGTGTTAGTTGCCATGATAATTGCACGTCATGCGGTGATTAGAAAGGCTTAATGATATTTTGCACTAACATTATTATATTTGTTATTTCAACATTTCATGAGACTCCCTTAGCAGAAAAAATAAATAAATTTTCTCTATCTACTCAAATGCTCATTTTGTGCACCTTAGTCCAACATTGTCAAAATGACAGTTTAATGTTAAATAAGAACATGAAATTTTATAAAAATTGTAAATTTTCAATTTCTATAACTTTCCATTTTATTGGTCAATTTTCACGAATCAAATTGTAGTTTATAGAACCAATTAACAAGCTCATGGTCAAAAGAAATCAGATGTAACAGACATTGCGAAGTACCCAAAATTAATACAATAGTAACTAACACCATAAAACGTATGTTGAATTGCCTTGGTGCAGGTGATGTGGATGCACCTCTTCACAGATGCAAGTTAGTTCCACTAATTGGCTTATATAAATAAAAATGACAATTGAATTTGCATTCAAGTTTTGAGTGCAGTAAAAACACCAAAGTATGATATTTACATTCAGAAATTGTGTCCCTGACCCTGCAACCAAATCCAATCGTATAAATTTAATATAAATTATTAATTATTGAATTATTAATTAATTATTATTATTATTATTTATTATTATTATTATTAATTATTATTATTATTATATTATTATTATTATTAATTATTATTATTGTTATTATTATTATTGACAGGCTAGTAGGCATGCTCAAATTGTACTTTCGGCGCTCGATTTTCATTTTTCCCCTTGGACTCTAAAAAAGTTAAGTACTATTCCCATTTTCAAATCTCATATAAATTTCATTTAATTCCGTTGCCAAACTCTCCTCGTCATACCCCTGGTAACAGTAGACTACAGCCACTTTTCTTGTTTGTGCCAATAATATGGACTTAATACTCAACATAGGCCACCCTTCTATCATATTCTTATTGATAACTTCAATTCTCTGTCTTAATTTAATTTTCCCCTTCTTGATACAGGACAAGTTCTTTTTTTGCTTCTTTAACATATTTTTGTTCATTATTTTTAAAAGTTAACATCTTTTTCTTAATGGCGATCTCACTTGTGATCACGGCTTATCATATGATTTTACTTTCCTTGTAATACAGTAATGTAGTCAAGTCTTGGCAAATGCAACATATGACGATACTAATAATTCAATATTATTATCTTTTATTATCACCAGTGGAGGTAGGGGGCCTACCTTACTTTCTTGTAAATCACTGTTCCTGTGAGTTCATCCAATCGGTTGCCTCTAAGCAGCGTTTTAATTCTTCTAAATTTTGATATGACAACATTTTGATACGTTAATATTCCGTTTATTTCACCCTTTTAATTGTTTGCCTATACAGAGGAGCAAGTAACGTCATGTTCTGAGTTGTTACCTGTTTCCGATAAGTTAATAAATATTAATTGCATACGCTGAATTGATCAAAGAGATTTGAACAGTTAATATAATATCATGCAGACTCCAAAAAGACTAAGAGAAGCCATGATTCAATATTTCGTTAATATTCGAACATCATCAGGAATGATCAGGATCAGGGGCCGGAACAGATAATCACAAAAGCATACACCTGTCTCTTATACACATCTAGATGTGTATAAGAGACAGGTATAATGATGTGTTGAGAATAGAGCATAACCATTAAATTAATTAATAATATAGTACATCATTCGTTTATACAACATTTATAAACACCTAAATATATATGAAATGAGATGCAATACATTAACGTCTCCGCAACGTACACCCATTGAAGGCTATATTGTTTGAACAACAACCCTGGACAAGCGGTAACCCACCCCGCGGCGCCACAAAAGAACCGAGTTATTCGGGCGCGCCGGTACCACAAAAGACACTGTCACGTTTAAGTTCTCTATGGTTTAAGCAAAGATAAGACCATTGTTGTACGCGCCGAGGGGAGAATTCTACTTCACTGTAGGCGATCACCTCTGCGTTACTTTACTTAGTACCTCTACTTCCCCATACTCGTGGAAATTCCTTTGCTACCATCAACTTTTACACGTGGAGATAAACTTAATTTCCCACGAGCGTGAGAAAAAGAGACCGGTCCATCGTTTCCGAATTAGAGTTTGATAAAACTTAATATACACACAACTAACATGCATTTAAAAGTAGTACAGCATATATCAGGGGTGGCGCCGGTGTGGGGGATAGCGCCCCCCCCCCCCCCCGTCGGGGAGAAAAAGCACAATTCGTCGGGGAGAAAAACAAATTACATGTATTTTTTAAATATTAGTAGACTCTAAAATCGATTAAATAAGCCTTTGAAACCCCTTAATTGTCAACATTTTTCGGGGGCTTCGCCCCAAGGACCACTTTCGAAACCTTTTAATCGAAGCTCGACCACGCCCACTTTGCTTTCGTCGGGGAAATCTGTCCCCTCGTCGGGGCATCGGCTCCCCGTCGGACAAATCCTGGCGCCACCTCTCGACCACACTAAATTTACCAAACTAAAAGCAGACCCTGCAATTATGAGAGAAGGAAGCCTTCAACCCTTTCTAAAGAAATTTAAAAACACACAGAAGATAGAAGCTGAACTATACAAGAACATTTAACCAAGTAGTTCACAACCTGCAAGAATTTATGGACTTCCTAAGTTACATAAATGTAGGCCTCCTAATGCTATTCCAAAATTTTGCCCTATTGTCTCATCTATGAATACCTATACCTTGCCAAATATCTTTGAGAATTATTAAGTCCTAATTTACCGTCTGATTATATTGCTAATGACAGTATCGATACCTTCAATAAATTTATGGTATCGTACGATGTTGAAATCTTGTTTACCAACATCCCTTTAAACGAAGCAATTTCATTAGCTACGGTATTGATTATATCCTGACAAATACTAATTGTAAATTATCTACGGAAGATCTTAAGAAGCATTTTATGTTTTGTATCTCTAAAACTCATTTTCTTTTTGATAATGAATTTTATGACCAAATAGATAGTGTCTCAATGGGTTCTCCATTGGGACCCGTCCTAGCAAACCTCTCCATGAACAATCCTGGATAAAATCGTTTACTCATGCACCCGTCCTTTTTTACCGACGTAATGTTGATGATGTTTTTCGCTTATTTAATTCTGAACACGATGCCGACATTTTTTTTCGATTTTTTAAATTCACAACACCCATCAATTAGATTCACCATGGAAAAGGAGTACAACAAAAATTACCATTTCTTGACATTCTTTTAGATAACTCTGTTCATAACTCATTATTAACCTCAGTCTATCATAAGAAAACGTATACAGGTTTGTTAACAAATTTCCATAGCTTTACGTCACCTACATATAAACTCGGACTCCTACGCACTCTAATAGACCGTACATTCAGCATTAACAACACATAGTTGTGTTTTCATAACGTTTTAAGAAAACTTGTACTCACTTTAAAAAAAAATAAATTATCCGATTACATTAATTAATAAAACAATACATAACTATCTGAACAGAAAACTATCGCCCACCACTTTGGATCTAAAACGCAAACACAACCTTCTTATTTCAAGTTACCCTATAGGCCTACACAATTTTCAAACTTTTGTCAACGAAAAATTAACGTTATGGTAAAAAATTATTGCTCTAACATTAATGTTAGACTTGCTTTCAAATCATATAAATTATCAATTTTTTTAATGTAAAAGACTATGTCCCAACTAATCTCCGAGCCCGTGTTGTCTACAAATTTACTTGCACAAGGTGTAACTCCGTGTATATTGGCGAGACTAATAGACATTTAGAAACACGGATTAAGGAGCATTTATTTTGTTAAATGTCAAAACACATCTAATTCAGACTGTTTTACTATTCTTGACTCCGCCCACAATACTTATCAACTTAAAATAAAAGAAGCCCTTTACATTGCTTGGGGAAATCCGTCACTGAACAAATAAACAACTCATTACAATATCACTCTCTCTTTCTAATTCATTCTAATTCCTATATACATGACTTACCATAGTATTCTTGACCTCTATATACATGACTTACCTTAATATTTGCTTGTTTCGTCTTACATCTGACCGGTAGTATTTAAACCGTTAGTAGCATAAGCGTTATTACCTGATAATGACGTGGGACACCTGTATTCTTCTTCAACGCTTGATATTAAATGTACATATTCATTTTATGTCAAGCGTTGACAAAGACACAGGAGTAGCCGAAATATTCGTCCAATAAATTATAGTGTTTTTAAAGTCAACATCTTACGTTTTTGAGTTTCATTACTGTTACACTATATAATATATATATCATTGTAAATCCACGTGTGTTCTTCAAATTATATATTAGTCGTTGAAACAAAAAATTATGACAACAAGGCATGTAGACTGTAGAACACTGTATTTATTTTCGAAAGAAATTTTCGGAATTACTCATTCAGTAAAGCTGATGAAGGCCAGAGGACTGGCCGAAAATTTCTTTCGAAAATAAATACAGTGT